AGGCTACGGAGCGAGCGGACGTCGTCGACGCGCTTCACGACGAGGACACCAGGCGCGCTGGGTGGTCGTCGATCGATACCGGCTGGTCGCTGGCTGCTGGACCCCTTTTCACGCACAAGAACGTGGAGGGCATGGGCGCTTCGTAGCAAGGGCCTGTTTGTGTGTGGTCTTCCGTAATGCGAGGGGGCCGTGTTCTGGATGCTCCAAGGTCATTTTGATCATTCCTCATTTTCTAGAGTACATAATGTGCTGAAGACGTGACGATGTTTGAAATGACTTCTCACTTACGTTTGATCCATTTTCGTTTTCTGTTCTGCTCCGCATGGGTCATTAACGAGTTCATATTCTCCAACGTTTTTTCATTTTTTTTTTCATTTAGGACGCCAAAAGGAGGGATCGGGTGTAACGCAGTATTTCGAGGTGCATTGCAATATATATAGGTTCGATCCCACGTCCCAGATTCACCGAGCCCTCCATCGTTCCGTTGTCTACAGATTGGTACCAGACCTGCCCGGTAGGATCTTGACTGACTCGATACATCGGTAAGCCACCGCAAGTTATTGTGTAGGACAAATATGCATTCAGTCATCTCTAACGACGCTTGGTGAAGTCGAATGCATGGCGTATACCTTAGTGATTGATCGATGCTGAGAGCCTCATCCTTTTTCAACCTTTCAGATCACAATTTGATCATTGTACTATATAGTTGTCCTATTCACAAGATTCTAATCCATTTATTTAAGCTGGCCAACTATATTGTTATAGCCATCTCATCTCTCATCCCTCTCACACGAAAAGGGCGCTTGTGAGAAACATGTATCGAACAGCTACCAGCGTGTGCACAGGAAGACAACAGAGAGAAGAGTCCCGGAACTTGGCGCGGCAAATAGCCATTTTTAATGGCTACGAAACCGTAGCTCGAGATAGGTGTAGAGGAAACCACAGGTACCCCAACGATAACTCTAGCGACAACAAGGTCCCGTTTATACTGCCCTTCATTTCAAATGAAGTAAGTGCAGCTATGAAACGCTGTTTAAGAGGGGCCAGTCTAGAGAATTCGGTAACGATAATCGAAATACCACCGAGTAATCTAAGGCGTCAGCTAGGTCGTAACCGCCTATATGACCGTCTATGTGGAACGCAAAATTGCATAATTTGCACCAATGGTAGAGACGGTGACTGCATGAGTTCGGGTACAGTCTATCTGATCTCTTGTAAAGCGTGCGGAGACGAATACGTTGGCGAAACGGGTAGACCACTCTGCGTACGTATAAAAGAACACCTAGTCGGCAAACGTAAGCCAAGTACTCCACTAGGTACGCATAGCACGCAGAAACATAACGGAGAAGATTTTGAAGTAAGGGTTACGATCTTCGCGCAAGAATCGAGAACACAAGCGCGCAAAACTCTAGAGGCATTCTGGATTAATTCCAAGAATCCGAAAATGAACCGCAGGGAGGAATGCCTCGTTATCACGCGTGATATTGGACAGTATATAAACCTGTTATTCTGATGGGAGGGGCACATTACGCCTCCATGTGAATTCTGTGCGGTCGGTCTTCACGCGACATACTCAGTGGATGACTCATGTATTAATAGAATTATACGTACACAAAAATGATTGAAATCTTGGTTTCGAGTTTCCTTGTTTGGTTATGGAGGCGTCTGGCCGAGTGGATTGCTATCAACTTGACCTTTCCAGGCTCTGAGGAAGGCGAAATCCGCCGAAACGTCAGCTTAATCGTGAACAAAGAATAATAACACCTCGCGTTTGCTCAACAAAAATACCAAGAAAATTACTTGATCAACGCCGAGGTTAATAGAAAGTCGGTCGTGGCAGTTACTGCGAGATGTACCAGCAAGATACTTCCGACTTGTAAAAGAAGCGCTGTCACTGAGACAAAAGATCGTCTTAGCTCGACAGTCAATACACTTTCTCCGCCGCTGTCTAAAACATCAAGTCGTTCCGAACTTCATCAAACGAAGACACGACGTATGCGGTCTACCAGAGGACAGTCACCGAGTATTGGACGTCGAATTGCGAATACTACGCACTTGTCTACAAAGCCGACAAAACGAGATGTTCGCCAAGTGGAAGAAGTGTGAGACGAAGGAAAACTTTTGTGCTCAATATTTGGAGGACCGCCTCTGGAGGAGAATAGTGGACGGGTCAGTGTTGATTTGCAACTCTACTAGGTCTAATGCTAAAGTAGCTTTGCGAAAAAAATTCGAAGACGTTTTGAGTAAATCACATGACACAGCTTCAATAGCGCACAAAAATATCGCTAAAGAACATCAAACAAATCACATTAGGATAGGTAATGTGCAAGAAAATTCAAGGCTAACCGTGTTAGGAGGCATAACTCTCCCTGACGGTGCGCGCTCGTTATTAGAATTGGGGCCGAGTTTCTCACCATCTGAACCCATTTCTAAGATAACCTTGCGTAGGGTCGCATGTGGTTTACATGAACTTCAAGATAGACTCCGCAAAAAAGCTAGAGATGAAGCGCTAAATAGGTGCGAACAACATCAAGTGGGGGGCCCTACCAATAGCACCATTTCCCCCGACGTTCTTTAGACAACAAGAGCCCAATAATGAAGTTGATGTTAAATTT